ATATACGTAGGTTTCTGGTCTTCTACACTCCCCAAGTTAATTTCTTCTAGTGGATCCTGAGCCTCGACTTTCTTGTGACTTGATGTAATGGGTTTTTCAAAACCTAAAGGAGAATAATCATAAATACAATCAAGTATAACTTGATCGCTATTATTTGCAACTACGGTCGAGTGAATCGACTTATTTATCCCTATTTTACTACTACTACTACTTTCTTGGCTCTTCTTTCCATCTTCATATTTTCCCAACCGAGCCAAGAACTCCTCGTATTCTCTATTCATCTTCACCGGCCACTTCGAGGTTGGCCCCCTCTTTGATCATGACGAATCCTTTCTTCTCATTCATCTCTAGGAAACACTCCTCGTGCAATTTTGAATTAAAATCTTCGATCGTTTCGAAGGTGAATGGCTGAGCCAGTGCCAGATTCTGGAGTGCCCGACCGGCCTGAGATACAAATGTTACAAATTCATGCTGATCTCTTGGGATTACCTCGAGATGTCCGTCTCGATTCCACATAAATAATTTCTGATGAGCCGTCGAAGGCACGGCTCCTACTCCATGAATCCACTCTCTTCCAAGTAATGCGTTGAAATTTGCATGTGACTGGACCACAATGAACACAGTAGGCCTCGAGTAAGTGCCTACTTTCACATCCAAGGCAATCATGCCTTCCGAACTTGATGTTTTTCCGCTGAAATCGGAAATCATAATATTATGTTTGACTAAGTCTTTCAGTTCAATGCCAAATTTCTTTAGCATATTAATTGGCAGTATGTTTACCGCTGCTCCACCATCGACGAGGACTCTATTTATCATCTGTACTTGTATCTCGATATTCAATAATAAGGGTTTCAGGTGAAACCTCATTTCTTCAGATGGAGGATCAATAAAAGCAGCATCTCTATGAGGGACTTCACATGATGTTTGTGTAACCCATGTTACTTTTGGCCTTATATTTTCTGAGTAAAAGTCATCTTCTCGATTGGCATCACTTTGTTCTTGGTACTCTTGATATTCACTAACATATTCTACTGGTAGTATCGATATTACTCCGATTTGATGATCGTCCCAAGTACCCTCATTCTTATCATCGAAATATTCTCTTGCATATTGACTATCCATCGGTACAATATTCTCTTCGAAATTTCTATAATTATTCCAATAAGGGATCCTCCCTCCTCTTCTCCAGGGCCTTCCTCGGAACCTCCTTTGGAATTTTGGGAATCCAGTGTTCGACCCTTCATCGTATGACAATCTCTCGAAGACATCATGGCTTTGAAGTCTGCCTTTTCCTCCTCGAGAAGGGTACATTTTTCTTCTGATCCATTGCCTTTGATTTTCACTAACACCAGAACCAACGGATTTCTGTTGACTTTCTTCGATTGTTGATCGGACTGTTTAATCTACTTTGTCATTTTTCCTTTTATTTTGGCTCTCGATCTTCTTTATTTGTTCTAACTTGAAAGCTTTAGCAGCCGATTTATCGAACACCGCACTGCATCGTGGGCATAACGACACATCTTCGTCTTTTTCTTTCTTCCTATTCAAAAACTCAACCAGGGAATCTCCTGATCGAGGGTAGATCTCTTTTTCGAACTCCTTTTCGAATTCACTCAGATCGAATTCCATATCTTCTTCAGACACGTCCATTCTAACATGTTTAGGATCAATGTCTTCAGTAACATCGACCATGCCTATAAAGGCAGAATTCATCATTCGGACATCTTCAGTCATGCCCGTTTGGGATTCAATATACCCCACTTGTACTTCGAATGGACTTGTGTCCACTTTCATTGTCATCTCTTCAAATTTTAGTCTTCCTTGGTCAATCGCATCCTGGATCATATTCCTGAAATGTATGCAATTGTTAGTCCAATGTCCAAAAACATTATGAAATTTACAATATTTTCGACCATTCCTTTGTTCTGCCGAAGGCAGTTTATGATCTTCACTCAACTTAATTTGTTTATCTTTTAATAAAACATCGAAGATTTTATCAGCTTTTGTCACATCGAAAGTATATGTTCGATTTGCCATTTTATCTTTCACTTCATTCTTTTGTAACAGTTTACAGATATATGGAGCCCCTACTTTGAGTTCTGCTATGTTTACTTTCTCATCGACAGTTTCTTCAATATCATTTTCTGTCATATTATCTGTCTCATATACATCATTTATGTATGCTATTCTTTCCTTTTTCAAAGGTTTCTCATATTTCTTATACCTTTGTTTCTCATACTCTATTTGTTCCACTCTTCTCACTTTATCAGCTAATTGAGCCATGTCATTCAATAGTAAATTGACTAGTTTTTTCCTAATCGAGAATTCTAAACCTGCAGAGGTCATTCTAACTAATTCATATTCAGGAATTTGAGTGAAGCATCTCGATTTCATTTGTCTAAATCGATTCAAATAATCATCTATACTTTCATGATTGTATCGTTTTATGTTCATCAAATCGATTAGACTTACTTGGGTCTCTCCTCTAAAGAATTGTTCATGAAAATTTCTTTCTAACTGCAACCAATTATACATCGAATTGGGCGGTAACGAAGTGAACCAAGTAAAAGCATTCTTAGTCAAAGAACTAGGAAAATATTTCATCTTTAATTCTTCACTCATCGCTAAATCCCCGCATTCGATCTGATATCGAGCCACATGCTCGATAGTCGATTCACCAACTTCGCCAGCAAATTTAGTGAATTTGGGTACTTTGTATCCTCGAGGTAATTCCGTCTCGAGAATCGCATTGGGGAAAGGTGACACAAAATATGTCTGATTGGGTGGTCTAAATTCCATCCCTTGTAAATTCATCCTTTGTCCTAACATGTTATTTTGATTGTGTATATTTTGAAATCCTTCGTTCAAATTCCCATACGGGTCATTCCTCACATGTTGGTACTCATTTCCCCTATGTTGATGTTGATCATTGTTTCTATTCCTCCTCAATAGATATGGGGAATTGTTAGTAGCATGATTTTCTACCCTCGTTTGTCGAGGTATAGCCAATGCATCCCCGATTCATGACATTTGGTCCGCTAATATCTCAAAACTAGCATTAGTGTTTTGTACTAATGGATTTAAGACTGTGGTCAACTGTTGTGATAACATATTCACCATTTCAAAATTACTCTCATCCATTTGTTGTCTAAGTACCCCTAATGAATTACTAGATATTCCGGTACCCATGTTTTCAATAGAATCAAAATTAGATCGATGATAGTCTCTATCGAATACATGTCTCCCATGCTCTAAGTTTCCCCTATGATCTAGATTTGGAGATATCTGTTGTGTGCCTACATTATGTCCACTCCCTGTCTGGGGAATTACTAAGTTTTGAGATGTTCCTAAATTCGGAGGAATTCCAAAATTTTGTGGCATACCTAGTGTTTGGGACATTCCTAAGTTATATCTCGAATTCCTATGCGCTGAAGAAGTCCCAGCTCCACTTACACTATTAAGTGAAAACCCGGGCGGTCTTACACTCATACGTGGCCCTACATATGTAGTTGTGGGATTTCCTATAGTTTGCATATTATTTGGTGCAACCACACTAGATCCTATTTGAGTATTCGCTACAATGCCTGAATTTTGTTCATTACTCATGGGTATCGACATACTTACAGTTGTCGATACTACAGGCGTGTTCCCATTATGGCTTTGCCCCCCAGTATTTGGTGGGTGTGACCCATTTAATCCCTCACTGTTACTCTGGTTACTTGATGAACTGTGACTCATGACTCTCCCACTCCTTAATCTCATACACTCTCGAACTAACCAATTTTGTGTTTCTCGACACAAGACCCCCTACCTGACGCGCCAATTTGTTTCTGGTGGAATTTCGATCGATTTCGATTCTAAACAGTGTTATGGTCCTAATCGAAATCATCCCACGTAAGTTCTTTTTACTTAGGCTAGCAGTCTGACTTTCAATCGAAAACGTGTATGAGGATCGAAAATCACAAGATATCAAGAAAGTTGTTTTTGGTATTTTGTATTTAAAGTACTGAAAGCAGTAAAGTATCGAATCGAGAAACAGAACGTTAAATTGCAAGAAAATATAAAGTGCGAAAACCCCAAATTTGCAATAATTGTAAATGACGAGGAATCGAAAATAGTGCAAATATAAATGGCAGGAAATCAAAATGTGCAGGAAATGTAAATGGCAATAAATCAAAATTGCAAGAAAAGTAAATGGCAGGAAATCGAAAATACAGAAACTTAAACTTTCATTGAATTGAAATGACTAAGAATCGAGAGTACGGAAACATAAAATTGCTGAAGCATAAATTACCAAGGAAAATACAGAAAGCGGTAAATGTACTCAGTGAGCAAGGAAATCCAGATTGCCAGAAGCTTCATGGTGTTCGTCGTTTCTCCGGTAGACTTTTCACTACTGATTCTGTTCTCTGCCAATTTCTGCTTTTCCCCCTTCCTTTCTTTGCTCTATTTATAGGGCCTCCTTTAAGCCTTCCAGGAACAGTTAATAAGACTGCTACCACGTTCTTTCGTGCATGACGGTTTCTTTTTCTACAGTTTCCCACGTTCTCACGATCCTCGACTCCTTCCATGGTCCCAGAACTGCTTTCTATACGTGCGTTTGACTTATTCTTCTCTTTGTGGTTTGTCCAGAGTTTCGATGTCCATGTTCCCTTTGCCTTCGATGATATCGAACACTTTGCATTGCTTTGGGTTTAACCTTAACATCATATGATTCTAGTTTCTTAGTTTTTTATTCGACAACAAGCATTTTGGTTATCCTTCACCCAATTTTCGATCGTGTTTCTCAATGTTATGTACTACGTGTTTCCAATTGGACATCGAATGATTTCTTTTGTCTATCTTACCGATTTACCAATCGATCATATTTCTCGATTCCACAATAACACCCAGAAACAATTTAGTCAATTTAATTTACATTAGAACTCGTGGTACAGAAGAAGTTTATAAGATCAAAGAACCTGAATCAGGAAAACTATAGAAGATACAAATATAACATATCAATGGGATTTTGCAGTGTTTTCTTCTCTAATGGATGTGGATTGAAGCACCACAAGAGGAGAAAGAAGAGGTATGGGATCTTTACTAGTGAAGAAGGAGTTTAATGAAGATGAAGTTGAAGCAGCACCCATTGAGTTCTGTGCTCCACTGCAAGGAGAGGATATTATCTTCTCATTAGGCTTTATCTGAAGTGGACATGGTGCTCTCTTTTGTAGCCTACTCATTGACCTTCTGAACACAAACTCATCTTTATGACTGTAAATCTGAAAACCAGGAAACTCAACTCCTGAGTCCATTTTTTGCTTCTCAGCTCGTCCTTTGTTTTGGACAATTTTGTGTCCTTAACAATAAGAAAGAGACCAACACTAAACGAAGGTTTGAATATTTCCAGTGAAATTAAGGTACATTGAATAACTATAACACCCTTCATAAGGCCTTTAGCATGTGTTGATTTGGCACTTGAAAATTGTGACATCCATGTGGTCACGTAAATTGTGGTGGCTAAATGATAATATAATCTATTATGTTGTTCTTAGAGGACTCTCTTACCATGTGAGGATAGTTATGGGGTTTGCACATTTCTGATTCATGTGAGGGAAGAATCAATGCACTTATGCACAGATTTTTAAAAGATCTAAGTTTCAGTGACAGTGACACTCAAAGCAAAGCACATGACTCTCTTAGTAATTTCTTATTGCATTGTTTTCCTTCCACTTTCTTTTGCAAAGTTAGGAACGTGATTCCTCTATTATTAATAGCATTTGGCAGCTGAAGTTGTGGCTATTGTCTGGTAAACCAGTCACCTTATATTAAGCAAGATAGTTTTGTTGTGTCAGAGATTACTATGTTCTCTTTTATAATTTGTGATCATGATTTGGCTATGATTGTCATGCCAACAAGATGATTCAGTTCAACTTAAAAGTGATATTTTTTTATGTGATATTTTTTTTATGTTAGGAAATACAAGTTTCATTTTAAATCTCATGGCTAAAAATAAAAATAAAAAAGTTGAGTAAGAAAGTGTGACACATAATCTAATTTCTTAAGGTTTTTGGTTGAAAGTGATATCAATTTTTACGTGGGTTGAGAAACTCATTAATATTGTATCTTCCACTAAATTTTCCTCAAAAGATTTAACAAGTAATTATTAGGAAATACAAGTGTAATTCTAAGTTATATTGGGTAAGAACGAGAAAGTTGAACAATATATAAGAAAGTATGACCCATAACTTAGGAAATTGTTTACCCTAACAAGATCAACTTTCGGATCTAATACCTTACTCTATCTCTTATGCCACTTATTGGGTTTTTTGAAGGGGATTCAAAAGGGAGAAGGATTATTGAGGGATGTACCAATACGGAGAAATTCACACTTAAGAGAGAGATTATTAAGAAATATAAGTGTGATTATAAATCTCATATTGGGTAAGAATGAGAAAGGAAATATGACTCGTACCCAATACCTTAAAATTTTGGGTTGTGAGTGATGTCAATCTTGACGTGGATTAGACTTATGTCTTATTGATATTATATTTTCCCTATAAATCTCTCTCGAAATATCCAACATTTAAAACTTTATATTTGTTTATATTTCATATTCTTATTACTATTTAGACATATTGAAGAGATTTGACTGCTGAATAACTAAAAATATAAGATTAGCATAATGGTTGAATAACTTAGAAGAAATCAAGAAAGTAGCTTATGGAGTGTAAGAGACAACTTTCTTTAAGATTCAAAAGTTTATATAGTTTGATGACACTTCTTTATTCCAAAGTAGATCAAAATTAACAATATTTGTCAAATAAATATTATACATTTAATTTATTATAACAATTAAATATTTTTATTTGTAGTTGTCACTTTCATAACAATGAACTTTATACATAAAACTTTATATAGTTAATTATTCAAACACCTATAGTGAAGTAGTGGATTAAAGATTAAATGCAATAACTTTTCATTTGAACTCCCTACATTTTTTGAGGAAATAGTTGACAAAAAATCCTTCTTTGATAGAGGAATTTCCCTGTGAATCACTCAAAATTTTTAGTCAAAATACTTACATATAATAAATAAATCAAAATGTGTTATGTGAAGTCATAGTAAATAAACTCAAATGTGTATGTAAAATCATAGGAAGAAATAATTATGCTTAAAGGAAAATTCTCTCAATATAGTAATGTTAAATGTGGGTTGGTTTGTTTATTTTATTTTAGAAAAAAACGTTTTTTAATAAAATAATTATTTATTTCGGTTTTTAATATTTAAAAATAGAAAAAAATTATAAGCAAATTTTTTATGATTAAATCTATTTTTTTAATAAGCTAGTGATGGATAAGATTAAATCTAAATGACATCACAGGCCACAATCTTTTTATTATTAAAAAGTATTTAAACATAAATTAATCTAGTGATTATTTAAAAAAAAAATAGTTTGTTTACAATGGTCAGAATCAATATCTAAAAAAAATGAAACAAATGATTTTATGATAAGCTATTCAAAACAATTTTTTATTTTATCCAGATTTCAGACTTTTTTTATTGTTACATTATTAAGAGCGTAAGCAAACACCTAAAAAACTAAAAGAAGTAATTATTTTTAAATGAAATGGTTATTATGTTTAGTTTGTAAATCCTATAATAAATTAAAATTAGTAAAAGTTTGAGACCCAAGCCAATCCCCTGATTATTTAAAATATTTTCTAATATAGTAATATCTGACTTGTATCATTTATTCCAATCAATAAGTCTTGGACTTTCCGAAATTTCTGAAACATGAAAATAAACACAAGTACTTTACTGCATAGTATTTCCTAAAAAGAAAAGAATATCTTAAAGTTCTTCGAACAATTTAAAAAATGATAGTAATTTATTAAAAGATGCACAAATTGTTCATCTTTATCAAAGAAATGTTTTTGGTCTTTACTTTTAATTGAAGCTTATCTATGTTTGTAAACTTACCTGGCATTGCATTTCAATCTAATGGAGCAACAAGCCACGTGGCAAAACCCCATGTAACTGTTACCCTCTATACGGATAACGATGTACCAATCACAAATTTTGGGAGTGTGATATTAAAAATAGAATAAATAATAAATAAAATAATATAAACCAAAGAAAGAGAGAAAGAAAATGTCTTTGTTTCCTTCGCCTTTTCTTCCTTTTACACACATTAGCATTTTCCCTTGCTTCTTTTGAAAGGCCAAAGCACTAGTCTCACACAGTGTTTGGTCAAAAGGAATATTCAAATGGGTGTGGATTGGACAAGAAGTGTTTTGTAGTGGACCATTTCAAATGGAGCAAATAGCATAGTGGAAAGTTCTTGATGACGACAAAAATGGCTTATTATTAAAGCAGCAGAAGCTTTATTTGATTTCTAAATCCTAATCTCCCTAATTGGATTGACCATTATAATGATTTCAAAGTGTTTTTTTTTTATAATTGAGGGAAGAAGAAGTACAAGGTCACAAAAGATACGTATTTTTTCAGCCTAACCCAACCCATCCATAATAGTGCAGGTCTCAATCAGACAGCGATGCAAATAAATTGTCATTTAAATTTGGCATACACTTCAATTTCTGGTAGCCAACACAAAGTTAGCCGCCACTGAGTTTCCTGTCCAATAAGACATGCAATGAGAACATAGCTATAGGTCCTTGGTATGGCATGGAAATTTCTCACGTTAATAATGGAGGGACAACAAAAATTATATATACATGCACTATCCAACTTTGCTCAATTCTGACGCAAGTCAAGGCGTGATTCACTGTAATTTCCCATGTCACGTCCTCTTTCATTATTTTTTTTTTTTTATGTTCAAATATCCTTGTAAGGATTTGCGTCAAACCCAATCTTGCATAGCAAATAGGACCAAAGGGTTTAAAGGATGATGACGATATTTGAGTTTATTTTAATCAAAACTTGCACAAATAGATTATGGCTGAGATTATCAAATATTAGACCCGCCTCAGCCTCTGATGTGGAGGTATGATTCTTTAGAGTCGTGGCCTTGTGAAGAAAGATTTGCAACATTATTTTGTTTATGACAAAACTGAGGTCATTATACTTTATCTTGAAAACACTTGCTCACATCAATAGTTTGTTGCAATATGTTTAAATGCTATTTATCGAACTTTAAATAAAGGCACCATATTATTTGGGACAAATCGTAAAGCAGCCACAATTAAATGTATAGTAAGCAGACAAAAGTAAAGGACAAGGAAGATGAGGGGATTATAACTGCTGCTAGAAAATGAATGAATATATACAAATGATGCGCTTGAAACTAATTGTCTCAAGGTTACACAACTATGCTTCTCTTTGATTTCATCCCTCAACTTTGTGATTAGATTCCACAGTGGAAAAACTAAGCTAGAAAGGAGAACGGGTAGAGAATTTACAAGCCACTTTCCCTAGCGTGGTGATATGGTGTTCCTACTTCCCTAACTAAAGTCGTGTCACACTTCCTAGTAAGCCCTTTGCATCTTTCACCTCTTTCACTGTACAAGAAAAGATGGGCATGTGTGTGTGATGGCTTTCTCAAGAATAAGACTTAACCAAGCCAAAGTTCACAAAAGATCTGGACTTGAAAAGACCACTAAAGAGGGATCTGGTGGGAGAATCCTGAGGAACAGATTTCATCTCTGAAGGGCTACCCTTTACTTTAAGGATTGTGTTGCCAATTGTTTGCCTAATGGATTCTATGGTCTTCAAATCAACAGGGAAACCAGAAGCCCCACGAACATAGAAAGTGTTGACAGCTTTGCCTCCTTTTGTGGCCACTTCTGCCCTTGTAACTGTGAGACTATTCTCTCTGAAGATACGTGTGACATCAGATAGAAGTCCAACTCTGTCGGTGGTGCAGAGTTCTAGCTTCAAACCCTGAATTAGGAAGAAACAAAAAACAAATTAAGTCATAAAATAATAGGAGACCAAAAAAAAAGAGGGTAAATGGAGAAACAAAACAAAAATACCTAACTGGCAATTGTCTATAGTATATAAGAAAATACTATTTGCTGTCCAGATTATTTCTTGACTAAAGAATGAAAAACAAGGAGAATTAAAGAGCAAAGGACACTAATCACTAATATAAAATTCATGAAAGGGTACAGTTTGTTTCCTGAAATTTTGTTTAGGTTCTTGTAGAGCCAACAATAATGTGTCTAATCTTCAAAGTAGTCTAACTGTTAACCAAACGAAAAAGAAATCTAGTTGAATAAGTCTATTTCATCCCTTAATAAGAAAAATCAATCTGGCAGTGGGACATAACAACTGTAGTCAAAGTCCACCAACTGCATTTCAACTAATCTTGGACCACTATTAATCACATGACAAGGGTCACGTTAGTCTGAACTTTTGGGTGAAAATTAAGAATAAATCACTGCATAGACAAATTAAGGCTTCACAGACAAGCACAACAATGAAAAGCATGACTGAATGAATTACATATGCAAATCTAAATCAAGATACTCAAATTCGGTAACATTAAGCCACTCACGTCAGAAACTCTTCTCTCAATTGCAGCTGCAAGACATTGTATCACTCTTTGTCTTTCTGCATCTGATTTCACAGGGGACCCGTCAATATGCTTGATGTAATATTCCTGCACAAGCAACCATAAATATTTAGCCAATGTCCTTAAAAGACCAACAGCAAGCACCAAGCAACAAAAGGAATCCCACGTCTGTGTCCATGTGTCTTTGTTCAGAACAAAGTGATAAATCTGATATACCTGATATGCTTCTGGCCCCTTGGCATCGATATTTGCATGAAAAACCACATACTCCATGTCAGTCAAAGTACATACTGTGTCGAAGAGAAGCTTTGGCCTGTCCTTACACTGAATAGTTACTACAGAATAATCATTGTCAGACCAATTCACAACATTGACATTTGGCCTTTGCTTCTCATCAAAGTCATCATCATTTTCTCGTTCATAATCCCTATCAGCAAACATCATTTGGTGAAGCCTTCTCTCAGTGTGTGTGGCTTCATCTGTGACAACAGTCTTAGCCCCCCTCTTCTTGTTGCCACCACCAAGCACATTGCATAGAAGTTCCTTGATTATAGAGAGCCTCTTAGGGTCAGTGATAGCAGATCCGGTCTCTTCATCTGTCACGTGCATTACGGCGGCTGCACGGGTGTTGTGAGTCCACACCTCTGCATTCACAATATTGCACTTGAGGTTGGTCAAAACAGCACTCAATTCTGAAAGTAATCCTGGTCTGTCACTTCCCATAAGCTCAATTGCTGTGTGGTCCATTGTTTGCTCAACCCCAACAGATCTCATGGGAGAAGTAACACAAGATTCGGGACCAAGAGACTAAAAACACAAATTCCACCAAACACATGGTCAGTGATTGTTTCATAAAAGCAGAGAAGATGAACACCAAATGAGACACCAACCTTTCTAATGTAATCCAAAATGGCTTCATCAGTAACTTTGTTTCCATCTTGGCCAGTAACATTGAAAACTGGTACAACAGAATAAATTACTCAATTTTTCAATCCTCGTCCAAAACTTACGATCATCAATTTATTTTGTAATAGAAGTTAATTAATATCAAAGAAAATTATTACCATCCATGAACCATCCACCATCAGAAGATATGTAAGCCTTAGTTATGATAAGGTTAAGATCAGTGAGGATCTGTACTACTTCAAGAAGTATTCCATGCTTGTTTGCACTATCAACCTGCAAAATTAAATTCACTTTCAACACCCCTTTAAAGAAAGTGTCATCAAACTAGGCAAAAGTTCTTCAATCATAGAAACATGAATTGTAGACCACAGAGGGAAGAACTAGAAAACATTTGAAAGGGGAAACTAGGCATAGGCATACGCGTATAACCGTGGCATCCTTGCAGGCTTCATTATCGATTACAACCCTGACAAGACAAGACAACAAGTGGACAAATATGTGAGGACAGAATCATTGACATTCTCTTTTCTTTTCCCATTTTTTCCAAAGTCGAAAGTTAATTTTCTTTCATCAAATGGGAAGGAAAAATTGGTACCTGGGAGGATTCATTCTCCGGAAGAGTTTCTCGTATTCATCATCCATGTAGTGAGAGAAGCTCATGTTGACCTCCGACATAAAAGCTACGAGAGAGAAAACAAACCAATCAGAGGACAAAACAAGGCAACAACAGAACCCCCATAGCCAATGAAAATCAAAAGCAAAAACCAACGAAATAAATATATACACATAGAGAGAGAAGACAATGATGGAAAAAACCTCTTTGCACATAATAAAACACAGCACAGTGTGACAGAGAGAAAGAATATAAGAACTGGGGACAAAAGGCTGAGGTGGGTAAAAGAGAGTGGCTAATGGTAAAGAGATGAATAAACACAAAAGAATAACCGAGTAATGAAGAAAACCAGAACCCAAAAAAAGTTGCTAGGTACGAATAAGCCTCGTGCTGTATGCTTAGCTGTTAATATGCTAAAAGAAGGAATCCCAAAAAAGAACCCATTAGGCCAATGAAACCATATGAACAATAACCCACCAAAAACACCTCATAGCCGAAGAGAGAGAAAGCCCATAGACTATGGAAACAAAGAAGAACAGGAAGAAGAAGAAGAAGAAGAAGAAGAATATACACACCCCAAATCAATAGAGTTGAACTAATTGATTTTTTAGAAATAAAGCCTTCAAATTTCACAGCAAAGAAAAAAACCCATGATTGTACACCACATATCTTGCCACCCAATTGTAGACACAATTCCTCGCCCCAAAACAAACACAGAGATTAACAAAACCCAGAAGGCAAAAAAAGGAGGGAAACAAAAAGAAAAAAGAACAAAACTTCAGAATGCCCAAAACCAAGAAACAAGATTCCAAGAACAAAGCACGAGAAAACCCATAACAAAAAAAAAAAAAAAAAACACCACAAATACGACCTACCCATTGCAGTTTGTGAGGATTCGTGATCTGCCACACCACACACCAAAATTTCGCAGATTCTCTCTCTTGCAAACAAAGGCTCTGCGAATGTGTTGTTGGTACGAAGCAACAAAACAGTACATATATATATATATAATACGCAAAAATATGAGCGTGTTTATATGAATATAATAATAATAATATGAACACCCTACAGGGATCTCGCACACGCCTTCAATCTTCTCTCAATAACTTTGGAAGAAAAAGTAATTTAAGTAATTATAAATTGTGATGACAGATAAATAAAAGTATTTCTTTTACAACATAAAAAATATTAACAAAAAATAAAAATAAAAATCAGAACCTCCCCGACACGATGCTCCAAAACCTGCAATTCCGAAAAGTACCCAAAAAAACGCAGACTCTCTTTCTTTTCTTTTTCCTTTTTATTTTCTTCTTTCTTTCTATCTGTCTGTCACTACCTTCTCTCTCTTTCCCTTACCCGATTCTGTTACTATTCAAAAACAGTATTATCTGTTATTTTGATTTTCGTTAATTCGCGAAAAATGGTAGAGGTGCAGAAAGAGAGCCCGGCGCATGTTAGCAATAGAGGTCCTGCTAAAGGGTGATGCGAATGAATAAATAGCTTCTAAAACTGTTTTGTGAAATAGGTTTTGCAAAAATACAAAATATTTCGTGATGTGTATAATTAACTTTTTTATATTATTAATCGATTATGAATTATTTTAAATTGTTTTTTTAATATTTCACGTATATTCAAAATTTGTATTAACAATAATTCATTAATATTCTTCTATCTTATTAGTCAAAATATTTCTTTCAAACTAAAATGATATATTGTCAATATTTGGAACATGAATATTATCCTTAACAAAATTATGTTAGAGTATAAAATATCATAACCACTAAAAGAAAAGAAAAATGGAATTTCTTAATCTTTAATTGACATTTATTTAGAAATAATTAAAGTTACTATAAATAATTTATAAATATTATTGTTTTAATATTTTAAAATGAATAATATCTTAAATACAACCATTTACTTATCGAATATAATAATTTATCTTAATAATAATAATATCTATAAAAACAGAATATTGTAAATTTGATACTTTGGTCCATGTCACTTCAATTTTTGGATCAATTTTAGACATATTAAAAATGCTTACATCGTTTCCTGATATATATTTTTTTAACATATCAATTTGTTTTTAAAGGTAAATAATCTACTAATGTTGTTTTTAAAAAATTGAATTAAAATGTAAAGTAATTATTATAAAAGTTTAAAAAATTGAATAAGTTATGTATATATAATTACAATAATAAGTCATATAAAACTCATATTAATTTCTATAAATATAAATTTAACACATTATTTTATTTTTATTTTTTTTATTATAAAAATTTGATAAAAAATTTGTAGATCAAACATTTTTGTTCCTATTATATTTCATTTTAAAAATTGCTGGTATTCTCAATTTTATTGGTATTATTATAATAAAACTTGAAGTAAAATCGAATGAATTCAACCAAACATCATACAACTTTAGTTTTATTATAATAATTAATATTAACTATAATAATAAAATTATAAAAATAGTAATCAATTCATAGTTGAAATAATATTATATTTAATATTAATAATAATTATCAATAATAATATGTTAACATTACTATTAATTATAATAATAATATTAATTATTATTATTATTTACATCACCATTAATTGCAAATATTTTTATATTAATAAATATAACTACTATTTTATAATTATTTAAATATTATTAAAAATAATATTAATATTATAATAAAATGAAAATCGTATAAATAAATATAACTTCAGTTAAATTGAAGTGATGTTTGACTTCAGTTTTATCACGATAAATAACAAGGCAAGTCGTATTTTTAATGACTTCAGTTGAAAATATGACTTTTATATAAATAAGTCGTTTTTCTATAAAATATTCTACTTAATAAGTTTTAGCATTTAAAGTTAAGGAATGAGTTATTAATAAAAAAAGTAATAATGTAATTTTTCATATATATATATATATATATATATATATAATTAAATTTAAAAAAAAAATCGTTGCTTATTTAAATATTTAGTTTTATTAATAACTTTCAATTAAAACTCTTAGTATTTGTTAATACAAAATACAAGTACTTATGATATTGAATAAAATTAAATACAAATTTAAAATCTATATAGAAATCATATATATTTCATACAAAGATTAATAATTTCTTATGTATCATGTAATAAAGACAAGAGAAATAATATTCACTTAGGAATTTTATGAATTAAAAAAAAATTAAATATATTTTGAAATATTCTTTTAAATTGATAGTGTTTAAAAATATTAATTTAAAAAAATATAAGTTTAGCAAATAAAATCTAAAAAAATGTCAATTATCAAATATACAAATAATTATCATTATGAATTTGATTTGATTTAACCTTTCTTATACGTGTCAATAAAGTCATATTAGGTGTTTAAGACGAATTAAGTAAAAATACTTCAGACTAAGATTACCTCGAGAAGGTCACTGTAAGTCAAACTTATTAAACTGAAGAAGTTGAATCAAATTAAATAAAATCAAACCGGCGGTGAAATCCCAATCTTATACAAAGTGAATCACATCTCAATCTTTATAATATAAAAATTAAATATAAAAATACGTCAAATATGAAAATTTATAAAAATTTTTTAAAATAAAATTTAAGAATTTCAAACTTAAATAAATTTTTTTAATTTTTTATTCAAATAATATAATATCTCAAAATTTATTATATAAAATATTTTAAATATAATATATTAAATTATAATATTTCAAATAATTTAAATATTTTTATAATAAAAACTTATTTATTTGTAAAAAAATTATTATTATTAAAATTAAATAAATAAAAATTTATAAAATTATTATTATTATTTTAAAGTATATATAATTATTAATTATTTTTTAAAATAATTAGAAAAAAAAAAGATAAGAATCGTTATCATTTTACAAAGAGATAAGCCTGGAACAAAAATAAATTAATTAATTAAAACTTGTAACTATCCCTGCCATAAATGCTAAAAATAATAAATTATATATATATATATATATATATATATATATATATATATATATATATGAAAAAAAAAGGGGTTAGAGGAAAGATAAGAAAGGGAGAAATAGAAAGGGAAAAGTGAGAGAAGGAGTAAATTAAAAAAATAAAAAAATAATATCGGTAAAATTTTAAATATTTTAAAGAGAGAAAATATCTATTATTTTATATATAATTATTGGATGAGATATCATTAATTTTATTTTATTTATATTTATTTTAATTTTATTTATGCAATAATTTTATCTAATTTATTTTTAGTTAGATTTTATTTTATATATATTTATTTATTTTTAATTATATAATAATTATATTATTTATTTATTTTAATAGAATATTAATAATATTTATATTTATTTATTTATTTATTTTAAGTTTTTTATTTATTTTATTTCATATTTATTTATTTATTTATTATTACATTGTCTTCTATTATATTTTATAATTATTTATTTATTTGTAGTTATATAGTAATCTTATATTATAGTTATTATTTTTAATTATATATTTATTCTTTTTTATATTTTATATTTATTTATTTATTTTTAGTTATGTATTTGTTTTATTTTATATTTTATATTTATTTATTTTATCATTTTTTTTATTTTTTTTATATTATTCTTTATTTTTATTATATTAGTTCTTTTTATTTAGTTTATATTATTAAATACTTTTTAAAATTTTCTTAAAAAATAATATTTTATTTTTAATATTTAATTATATTGTAATTGAAGATTAAACCTTGAAGATTAAAATGAGTAAATATTACTAAAAAAGTAATTAATTTTTTACTCATTTATCACGATCGAAGCACTTACACAAATCAATCTGAATATTCCTTAAATAAAATAGAATATATTTAT